CAGTTCGGCACGCGACTGCAGTTCAGTTCATCATACCACCCCGAAACCGACGGACAGACAGAATGGACAAATCAGACCATGGAACAGCTCATCAGGGCCACGTGTGACGACCCGACCACGTGGGAACAGCAACTGCCACTCATCGAATTCGCGTACAACAACTCGCCATCCGCCACGACCCAACAGTCACCATTTTACCTAAACTACGGACAAGACCCGACAGTACCCATGACCCCGAATCCCGACAACCCAGTACCACGAGCACAACAGTTCGCCGAAATATTACAAGCAGCACCTACCCGGACAGCAGACGCAATAAAAAAATCGAACATCATCCCTAGACGCAACGTCGACCGCCACCGCAGACCTGTCACTTACCAGCCCGACGACCTAGTTTTACTTGACACTCAGAACCTCCGACTGCCCATCACCCCGAAACTCCGCCCCCGATACTGCGGGCCATTTCGCATAAGCCACATGATTACACCCGTCACCGCCCACCTCCTCCTCCCTGCTGACTGGTACGTCAGCCCTTATTGCACATCAGCCTGCTTCGCCCTTACGTCCCGTCGACGAGCCAACTGCCACGCAATCGCCCAGCCAACATGACAAGACCACCAACCGAACCAATCATCACCCCCGAGAAAATCATGAGTCACAGAGTTCGCGACCCTCGAGGAGCCCGAAGGATCGAGTTCTTGGTCCGCTGGAAGGACCGTACACCCACCAAAGACAATTGGGTTCCCCTGGACAGAATCGAAACCACCCCGTCCTCACAGAGTATCTGCACAGCCGAAATTTCAGGGATGTACACGCACTTTCGTAAGGAGGACCTCCTTAAGAGGGGGGGGTAGTAAAAGGAAAAATATTTTTCCTTACTTTGCGTCCCCGCTCAGCGCGTACACCACTGTAGCACCACAGTCAGCACCGTTACCACTCGCAACCCTCACATCGACAATCCGCCTGCCGCCTTCGCACGTCGCACCCCGACCTCATGGCTCGGCGGGTAACCCGCGCTCCGGGCCTCCGCTTCGACACTTCTCCCAACCTCAGTCCCAGGCGCGTCACGCGACAACCACAGTCCATTACCGTTACCACTGTCGTTTCGCTATATAGCCTTTGCTCATTGTACTCTTGCTTAGATAGTGCAATTCTCGTTAGTTCACTCAATTGCACTCGTAACAGTAGTTCACATTACTTTCTGGGTGCTATTTTACCACGTTGAGAGTTTACAACCGCTCTCAATCTTGGTGTACCGTATGGAAACGCGTAATAGGAACCCTAAACAAAGCAATTTAGGTTGGGGCGTGTTTTGCGGCCAAGGGTTTGATGACTCGTTTCATTTGCGGAGGTTTGGAACTCCTTCAGATGAGTTCCTGTCAGGTAGCACACTACGCACACCTTTACAGTTCTTGTATCGTGTCTCAGGACGGTTCCACACGGTGAAAAGCGGTTCTTGACTTGTACCGTTTTGCACCGTGACGAAACGAATTTGACCGCAGAGAGCGGACAAAAAGTGGTACAACTCGACTTCACCCTGATAGCTAGGTTACGTGCTCCAAGCAGCTTTTCTTGCTGGTTTGCTTGTTACGTACTCGTTTTTGCTGGTTTGCTTGCACTAGTAGGTTCGCTCCTCGCCCGGCATTCCCTGACGCGAAGTAGGGGTGCGGTGCGCATTCCTTGACTTGATTTAGGAACTACTTAGTATATCGTGTATTTGCGCGAGGCCGCGCCAGCCACAAAGGATATTACGTCGTTGTATTTGTATTTTGCGTCGCCACGTTTAGCTTCGAGTTTTCGTTAGCACGGCACATCCCGGCCTCCGTAACGCTGCGATTACCACTTAGTCTTCGCCTGCCGAATACAAGTTCTATTCTCAGCCAGGGACGTGAGAGTCGATAAACAGCCGTTACACAAGGAGGCTTTTCTGTTATTTTAGATAGCCAAGATTGCTTCTATCTCAAAATGGCGACCACAGGATCGTGCGAAACGTCACTCGCTACTCCAGTCGCAAAATCGACACCCGCCGCAGCAGGCGGCGCCGCCGACGAGGCACCAGCCGTAGCAGCGACTCCGCCGGACGCGAACAAGCCGCGTGCCGCCGCCGCTACCGCCGCTGCAGCCACCCCGCCGGACTCCAACAAGCGCGCGACGGCAACCCTAGTCGCGTTCACCGTGCAATGCGCGCTCTGCTACAAATGGCGCAAGGTTCCGACGCTCGACGAGTACGAGAGCATTCGCGCGCGCGTGTCGATCGAGCCGTTCACCTGCGCGCACGCGCGGAGATGGAAGCCGTCCTGCTCGTGCGCGGACGAGCCGGATTTGGTGCAGGACGGCACGTACATGTGGGCGCTCGACCGCCCGGATATTCCGCAGCCGCCCCCCGGGTGGCGGCGGCGCATCGTGGTCCGCGGAGGCTCCTCCGCGAAGTTTTCGGACGTGTAAGTGTTAGCGGATTCTTAGCTTGCTCGTGTTTTGGGTGTATAGTTCAGACGTGTAAGTGCTGTCGGTTTCCAAGGTTGCACGAGCTATTATTACGGTAAAAAAGAAAAAGAGAAACGTATTCCGGTTGTGTTATTTGTTTGTACCCCTGTCGTGTCCTTCTCACTCATCTTTCGAAATCATCTCGCGAATTTCACTAAAATGCGCCAGTTCCGCGCTTACAGTAAGGACAGCGATTGCCCCTTTTGACTCCTGGCTCTTCCTTGTTTTTCTGCAACCCTTATGTTTTATCAGATACTATCATTCGCCCTGCGAGGTGACTTTTGAGTACTCAAAAGTTACAGCAAGGACAGCGATTGCCCCTCTTCACCCCTGGCTCTTCCTTGTTTCTTTGCAACCCTTATATTTCATCAGGTACTACCATTCGCCCTGCGGCAAGTCTTTGAGATCAGTTAATGACGTTGAAAGGTGAGCTGGATCTTGGGTTTTGTTATGAACCAACCACGGACGCAGCAATTTTTTTGAGAAATAATTGGGTTTACTCCCTTCGTGGAAGCAGGAACCCCTTGTGATAGCACCTTCTCCCTCCGCCCTTTTTTATCATTTTGCAACACGTTGGTGAATATTTTTTTCTCGTGCCCACATTTTTTTCTCCAGCATTTTCCCCTTTCCTTCATGCTCCCTCCCTCCCCACCTCTCTCCCTTCTTAGTCAGAAACTTCCTCCTCTCACCACTAGCTGACATTTCAGTCAGAAACACCTATCATCTACCTCTTACGGGTTTTTTTTTTCAGTCGACTCAAAATCATCTGCCCCGCTTGCCCTGTCTCAAAAGGCGCTGACGTTTGAGTTTTAAAAAATACACCTGTGATGTGCGTCTGTTACCCAGGCACCCTTAATGCAAACCTTGGCTCCCTTATTTTCCTGCAGGTCATCTGCAGGTTATCCGTGACACACTGATGTGTCAAACCACCCCAAGTGATACCCACACGCAGGGTATTATCTACAGCAGAGGGTATTATCTACAGCAGAGGGTATTATCTACAGCAGAGAACGTTAAACCTCTCTCTCTCTCTCACGTCACCCCTCTTCACCCCACTTCATCCCATTCCATCCTCTTCGTACCTCTCCACCCTTCTCCACCCCTCTCCACCTGCAGGTTCCTAGCAGACCACCCCAAGTACCGCATGCAGGGCATCACGTCGCGCCAGTTCTCCTTCTCCTCCCCTCGCCCCGCCCCCGCTGCCGCCCCCGTCAAGAACCACTTGCAGAAACGTTCGCAGGACGCCTCCCCACCGTCAGGCCCGCTGGGCAAAAGACAAGCTACTCTCAGTAGATGAGCTGCAGCAAGCTTGATAGAGCAGCTGCAGGTGCAGGTGCATTGATCTGGCAGCTGCAACGAGCTTAATAGAGCAGCTGCAGGTGCATTGAGTTGGGCAGCTGCAACAGCAGCGAGCACGTGTAGCTGCAGCTGCAGCGGTAATCCCGAGGCAGTATTTGTGCTGAGTAGAACAGCTTCGGCAAGGTTTTGGGGGTGGTAATCCCAAGGCAGTGTTTGAGCTGTACAGAGCAACTGTGAAGGTCAGTTGGTGCTGTGGCAAGGGATGCTCCCGAGGCAGTCTGATTGTCACTGATTGGTTGTTAAGCTCGGAAGGTGCGATATGGTTGGTTGAGGCGGAGCCGTAATTCCTAAACAGCATGATGTGTTCTTATGACTTACAAACGCGGCCGGCCGCTTGCAGAAATTTTCTCATGGTTTGCTGCCACTAACTAGAGTAGCTGCAGCATGGTCATTACGTTCGGTGATGTCAGTAGGTTTGGTGAGGTCAGTTGGCTCTGTGGGGTTAGCAGGTTCGGGTGGTCAGTAGATTCAGGGAGGTCAGTAGGTTCGATGCTGGCATGCACCAACTGCCTGTCAGGAAACAATTGCAGGCCCTTCCGGTCCACTGGACTATATAACAGTAGCAGGTAGAATAAAGCTACTGGTTCATGTAGTACTAGTGCAGTGCAACCTTGTGTGCTTTAACGCAATACCGGTACTTGGCAGCTGAAGGACAAACGCTGTAGGACCAGTGGCAGTGACCTGAACAGTCTTACTCTTGCTAGTTCTCCTAAAAGCAAGGTGTTGTCGAAAGGGGGTTTGTTCTTTGCATTGGGTGGTTGAAGTGGAGGCAGTGGCAGTAAAAAGAATTGAATACCGTATTGCTGTATGGTGTTTGAAATTTAGGGATTAGGCAACTGCTTTGCCTTACCAAGCTTTCTCTCTTGTCTGGGCAGGCAAAGTGCTACTTCACCTCAATTCAATACACTCGATACAAGTGAATTCGCTACCTTACTTTTTCTTCAGGCTAGATTTACAAGAACTGCTAGTAGCACACTTCTCTGTACACCGAGTGCCTGCCTTCCCCAACTGTCATCTACAAACGGTTCTGCCAGTCAAACCTGACATGCATGTCCCATCCCATTCCAGGCTTCTAGTGTCACAGGCAACCCTCCAGAGCGGAACAGGGGATCAGGAGAATTGGGACCAGTGGCGAGCTTTCCACTTTCATCCTCCAATCATTTCTTCCAGTGTCTCAGGTATCCCCGCCAATTGCACGTGGTCTGCCCCTTCACACACAGGTCCCTCCTCGGGTCTGTGATGTTGAAGTTCCAAAACGCTTTAGGAGCCTTCTCCTTCTTCAGCACTCTCCTGCGATACTCCATCTCTGCCTTCCACCTGAAGGTTGAGGGGAATGGAGGGGGGTGGAGAGCGGTACGAGGGTCGTAAAGGGGGGACTTGTAAGTCAATGCAGCAGGAGGAGCCACTTCCTTCTTGAGCACTCGCCTGCAGAAACCCATCTCTGCCTTCCTCCTGATGGTGGAGGGGAGAAAGAAGGGGGGTACTAGGGAAAGAGCGGGGAGGCGCGCATGAGGTCGTGCTGCGCCCACCAGCGCCCACCCATGTCCACCCATCTGCACCATTTTCACCCAGCCCCACACGTCCACACACAGCAACGCACCTGTTGGGAAGCCAGCAATACTCTTGCAAAGATGGGCGCATGAGGTCGTGCTGTGCCCACCAGCGGGCATGAGCGGCGTCGCTCACATACTGGTGGTCCCACGAGTACAGCCACGTGCAGTCAAAGTCGCGGTAGCACTGCCACGGCTTCCGCCCCAGGTAGTGAATCCCATGCACCCGAGCCGGCTCACCTGCATTCCCACCCATTTCCACCCATTCACACACATTGTCACCCATCTACACAGCAGTGGGAGCCCAGGGACGCACCTGTTGGGCAGCCAGCAGTATTCCTGCAAGGAGGGACGCATGAGGTCGTGCTGTGCCCACCAGCGGGCATGAGCGGCGTCGCTCACATACTGGTGGTCCCACGGGTACAGCCACGTGCAGTCAAAGTCGCGGTAGCACTGCCATGGCTTCCTGCCCAGGTAGTGAATCCCATGCACCCGAGCCGGCTCGGCTGAAAACACCCGGTCAAGCATCGCCCGCTGCGCTGCCTGCTGCGCCGCCCGCTTTGCCGCCCGCTCCGCCGTCCCGCCCGCACCAGTGTCTCCGTTCCAGGAGTATTTCAGCATGCTGACCGACTCGGGCAGCCGGTGCCACCACGCGAAAACATTGTTCAGGAAGCCTTGGTCGCCGCCATTGCAGGAGGTGAGGGTGGTGACGTGGGACATGAAGAGATTAAAGGTGCAGTTGGAAGGTTCTAGAACCATTACTCCGGAATTAAAGAGGTGGCGCGCGTTGCCGCGGGCCGAGAGCTCGGGGTAACTGAAGAGGAAATCGAGGTTCTTTAAAACGAGGACGTCTGAGTCAACAAAGATGACCTTGTCGTACTCCTCGAGTTGCCACAGACGCAGCTTGCTGGTGGGGGCGCGGAGGTGAGGGGAGAAGTGAAGAAAGGCAGGTGTCACATTGGCAGTCAACGACAACAAAAAGGTGACTGTAGCCATCGCTACCCCTGCATTCCAGTCACATGTGCCTCCACTCGTTACAAGAACAACTTTTGAGGTACCTCACTGCTACACCTGCATTCCATTCACTGGCCTTGCCGCTCTCCCCTTTCCCCCAATCCGTCCCCCAATCCGTCCCCCAACTTCCCGCACCCCAATTTCTTTCCCCCTCCCCCAACGCACCTGTAGTTCCATTCGTTATAAGACTTCGGCACGGCGCGCGGGTTACGAATCCGCTCGATCTCCTTGAGTCGCCACCCCGCCTTCTTCAGTCCCCTGCGGCTCTTGCGGTTGATTTCTCGCGACACCAGCAGCACCAGGTCCGCTTTCGTTCCGCTCTTCTTCAGGCTCCTAGCCAGCACGATCGCGCCGCACACGTAGTCCTCTGTCGTGTGCAGCACCGAAGCGTAAGCCACTCGCGGCGCCGCTCGAGGCGACTCTCGGGGTGTCCGCGATTCCAGCATTTGCCGCGCCAAAACTCGCGCTTCCTCGGGCGCCTCCACTAGTTCCGCTTCGTGCGCTTCTCCTATTCTCCGAGCCGCGTCCCGCCCTTCCTGTGCTCCCCCTTCCGCCCTGCCCACTTCCGCCAAGGTCGTCGGGTGCGCCAGCTGGCACGACCCGATTGGCTGCAGACGCTCACGCATGGCGGCGGATGCCACGTGGTAGAGCCAGATTGGCCCTTCGTGCATCACGAGATCACGGCAGCGGAAGAGGTTCGGCGGCGGGCGGCACTCGGTGAACAGTAGCACTGGCGTCATAGCTGACGTGGACTGAAAGGCGGCGATAGCGAGGACACGGGGGATGGACGGAAGAGTGCGAGGGGTGCGAGAGGGTGAGAGTGGGTGAGAGGGGAGGAAGAGAGGTGGGAACGGGTGGTGAGGGGTAAAAGGGTAAATCACAACTCCGTCATAAACGTCGTTGACTCAAATTCGCCTCACGAGATGGGTAATGAGAGGGACGGGACGCATTAGTCTTTATGCATGAACGCCGTAACTGCACGCCCACCTTGGTAACCAGCCGGCCAACCGTCAGCATGAGGTGATGCCACCGAACGTCTCTCGCCCACGAATCCGCCGGCTGCGAATCGCACGGCAGCGACGCGACCACGCCGTCGAACGATCCCAGTAACGAGCGTGCCACTAACGGGGAACTCTGGGAGTGCTCCGTTGCATCAGTGACTTCCCCAACGGGTCTTCGGGCGTCTCCTGCCGCGCCTGCTTGGTCGGACTCGTCTGCAAACCAGTCTGGTTCCGGGATTTCCGGACAGGCGGACTTTCGTGATTCGTCGATCCATTCGGGATAGATATCCTTCCACGTGATGTTCGGACTCGGGACTGTGAACGGAACACTGAAAAACGTGGTCGCTGCGGGAAGCGACACGTGTCCGTCTCCGTCAACGTTCACCGACGCGCTTCGCGACATGTTCCCGTCAACGTTAACGGTCGCCACTCTCGAAAGCTCGACGCCGTTAGCTTGAGCCCAGAGCTGGAGAAATGTCAGGCCGCGCTCTATCGTCCTGTTGACAGCCTCACCGGCAGCCATGGTTTCGATCCTAATGTCGGGTAGTACATCGCGTCGCGTCACCAGATTTGCACCTGGAAGCGACTCGGAGGAAGCTTTGTTACTACTACTAGCGCTTGGCGTCGTCTCGATCCTAATGTCTGATAATAAACCCTGGCGCGTCACCAGATTTGCAGCTGGAAGTGATTTGGAGGAAGCTTTGTTACTACTAGCGCTTGGCGTCGTCTCGATCCTAATGTCGGATAATAAATCCTTTTGCTTGACTAGCGGCGGATGCGCTAATCTGAAGTATTGGTTGATAAGAGCTACTAGCAGGAGACACGCCGTCGCGTAGTTCCATAATCTGCATGATCCTCTAAAAACTGACCTGTTATTAGTGCTAGAATCCTTTTTCGACGGAGGCAGGAGATCTGCCAGGTCAATGCGGTCAACGAGGGCAACGTGGTCTACACTACGGCCTTTGCAGTCGCCGACGGCGACCGGACTGTAGAGCAATCGGTCGCCGAGCTTGTCGTATGCTACTACTGCGTGTCGCGAGAAGAATGTCGCGAGTCTGCTTGGTTGTCTACTACTAAGTAGTGATCGTGAGGACCTAAGGGGCTTATTTGATTCCAGGCTAGGTCCCATTTTGGAGAAATCGTTCTCTGCCTGAATCCAGCCTGTGAATGATCCAGCCTAAGGAAACTATATAACTTGCGTGGTTCCTAGAGTTCTCATGGGAGCAACAGGAATGAGTACCAGCATTGTGTAGCCTTCGGGGCGACTCGTGGCATACATGAAGTTACTAATGAGCACGCTTGAGGAGCCAGTTGATCCCAGAATCTCAACAAAATTTCATATTTTTGTCTTTCGAGAGAGACAACAGACAGACACACATACAAAGGGCATCCGGAGCTACAGATAGTAGTTGTTGATGCCACGAACCCTGCCAATCTTCCAAGGCAGATTGTTTTACGGTAGGTGCTCTGGCCTGGACTTGGCGGGAAACCTTTGGTCGTCACCGCTGAGCCCGGGTCGCAATTGTCCAAGCCGGTAACCACTGTCGTCGAAATCCAAACACCCGTGACGACGTTCGCTGGATCCCAACCTGATCTCTTCCACATTCCTAAGGGTTCCCCCTCCCCCACGCACTCCCGCGAAGATAATGTCCTGACAAAGCCGCGACTGAGCAACTTGCAGACCCTGGGGTGCAAAGTTCTGACACCCCGCGCTTTGGCTGGCTTAGACCAGCTAAATACAGAACAAGTGAAATTTTAAATAAGAAGAAAAATGCACCCATTATATGATGCAAGTAGAGCGATGCTATAAAGCAGATATTTGCTGAAACAGAAGCTACTTGTAAGGAATTTTCTCGGCATTCCTTACGGAGCCCGACTACATCGCGTACAGCAACAGCCGTTGTTCGTCCGTTACTACTAACGGGACTTCGCCAACTTCGCGCGCACTGTTTTGCCAAACCTCGCGCTGCTGGCCCGGCCGTGTCGGCCTACGCTTCGGGACTAGCCCGAGCCTCGCTGCCAGCATAGCACTAGCTAGCTCGCACGCACCGCGTTACCGTTTGCATGTTTCGCGTATAAATGTTCGCTCATGCCTTCGCTCACATCTTTGTACTCGTTTGACACCTTAGTGCAATTATCGCTACTTCGATTCATTGCACCCGTAACACTTGGTATTCAGAGCCTCTTTCCTTTTCGGACCGCGCATCTCCGCACCCCAGGAAATCAACTTTTGTTTTTTAACTCGAAGGGGCTCACGTACCTTAGCACCTAGGAGCCGCTGTCCTCGCGTTCTTTCGTAAACGCGTGCAGCCACGACTGCGCCTAGACTAAGACGAGCCGACGCCCTTCGAAATGGCTGAACATATCGACGTCACGACTCTCACGCAGGAGCACTTGAACGATCTGCTGCGACAAATCCGCGAGAGCGCCGAGGAAATCGCGACGCTGACGGCAGAACGCTCGTCCCTGCAAAACGACCTCACGCGGGCACAATCCCAAGCACCTGGCACTCCGATTCAGCCCGCACCACAGACATCACAGCACAGAAGTGTGGGGCAACCCGTGAGCGCCGCAAGTGATGGCGTCGTCCGCCATGACGGAGACGACGACCATGGCACGACACACCCCGACGCGACGAATGCGGCCAGAACTCAGCCTCGAGTCACGATTTCGGTGCCGGCCGGCGAATCAACTCTTCCGTCGCCGATGCCGCTAAAACCGCAGCGTCCGCCATGCTTTGACCCAAGTCAGCGGGGTGGTCCTACCGTTCAGGCGTGGCTCTTCACGTTGAACGTCTTCTTCGACGCGAACTACGTCTCGGAGGATACGGCGAAGATTCGCTACGCCGTGTCGTTGCTGCGAGGACCCGCCATGGACTGGTGGCGCGTCATCGTCACGAAGCCGGTGGACTACGCGACTCTACCGACACGGGAAGGACAAACCGGACCCTGGGCGCCGTCGTATTTTGTGGAGGTGCCCCAGTATCGCACGTGGGACGCGTGGTGCGCAGGTCTGCGCGCTCGTTTCGAGCCAATCGCGGCGCAACAGAAGCTCCGCACTTGGCGCCAACTCGGTTCCGTCCAAGATTACACGAGCGGATTTCTGGCGCCATGCAAGCAGGTGGGATATATGCACGAGAGCGAGTGCATCGATCGCTACATCGGCGACCTGAAGCAGGACATCGCTCAGGAAATCCAGCTTCGCGGCGTCACCGATTTTCAAGAAATTTTCGCTATGGCGGAGAAACTTGATTTCTTCCACCGACCGAGACCGGGGTCCTACGGAAGCAGCCATTGGGGACATCGGCCTCGTGGGACGAATGAGGGCGCCACGATACGTGCCGTCGCCGAAAATGTCGCTGCCGCACCGTTCAAAGGGCGCTGGTTTGCATGCAATCGGCCGAGACATCGCAAGAGCGAATGCCCGGAAAACGCTAAGGGAAAGGGGGAAGTTGAGCAGCAGAAACAGACCAAGAAGCAAGGAAACGCTGGGAGTCAGTAGCAGACGGGCCCTCTATAGACAGGTCACGCCGCTCGCCCGACCCAGCCGACCCTCACCGAGTGATTGTGCCGGTTCACGCAATCGCCCACACTCGGCCAAATAAGGAGGGGACTACGGTAGACAGTCCCATACTGCTAGTGGGAAAATCGGGACGGACATGGTTAAAATCTTTGTAGACGGGGGAGCTAGCCACAGCCTCATCAACACTGCCACAGCACGAAAACTGCGACTGCCACTGGACAGATGTTTACCTCAGATCGATACAAGACTGGTAGACAGCACGCCGCTGGCAATACGGGAACGCGTAGACCGGGTTCGGATTCGATGTAGGGGTAACTTCACGTTTAGCCAGGAAATGCTCGCAACGACCCTCGACGGAACCGATATTTTACTCGGGCGGGATTGGCTGCGGCGACACAATCCGCAAATCGACTGGACGACGGGTGACTGCACCGTGCGAGTGAACGGTAACAACATCGCCCTACCTCACTGGGGCTCGCCTGAGTCTTCGTCGGTATGTGTCAACGCGATCACGATGAAACGCGCCGTAGCCACAGGAGCTGACATGTACGCGGTCGACATTCGGGAAGCCGAGGCAGCAGACAAAGGAGGGGATTTACAGAAACTGCTGACCGACGTACCGGGTGACCAAGCAGCACTGTTGAAGCAGTTCAACGACATTTTCCCGGATGATTTACCGACGGGACAACCACCTCAGCGACCGCACGACCACAGGATAGAGTTAGAACCGGGGGCACAGCCAACAGTACAGCGACAGTTCCGACTGACCCAGCCCGAACTGGACGAACTGAGGAAGCAGCTCGATTACCTGCTCGAGAAGGAGTTCATTCGCCTTTCGCCTAGTTCGTCGCCTTTCGCAGCACCGATACTGCTCACACCGAGAAAAGACGGGGGATTTCGCATGTGCATAGACTACCGAGCACTGAACAGGGTTACCATCAAATCCCGTTACCCCATCCCGCGAGCCGACGAACTGATCGACCAACTGCGCACAGCCCGGGTTTTCTCAAAGATCGACCGCCGAGGGGGTTACCACCAGATTCGCGTCAATCCGCCCGACTGCCCTAAGACCGCATTTCGCACACGCTACGGATCCTTCGAATACACCGTCATGCCTTTCGGACTGACCAACGCCCCCGCCACTTTTCAAATGACCATGAACGAAGCTTTCCGCCCGCTCTTAGATAAGTGCGTCATAGTATACCTGGACGACATACTGATTTACAGCCCTGACAGAGCACAGCACTTACAGGACATCGAAGCAGTTTTTAAAATACTGAGTGAGAACCGCCTACTGACAAAAGCGTCTATGTGTGAATTTTTACAGGACTGCCTGGAGTTTTTGGGACACATTATTTCAGCTGCAGGAGTGGAAATAGACCCGAAAAAAATTGCGACGATTCAAGCATGGCACGCGCCGTCCAACTTGACCGAGTTGCAGAGTTTTTTGGGGTTCGTCAACTACGTGCGCCGGTTCGTCCTCGACATGGCGAAGCTGACTGCCCCGTTGACAGACCTGCTGAGGAAGGGGGTTGAGTACACGTGGGGGGAGAAAGAGCAAGCTGCCTTCTTGGCCCTCAAAAACATTTTGTGCTCACCGCCCGTGCTTCACATCGCAAATCCACACCGTCCGTTCGAGCTCGTCACTGACGCAAGTGAGATCGCTCTGGGAGCAGTACTGTTGCAGGATTTCGGGAACGGCCTCCAGCCAATCGCGTACGAGTCCCGCAAGCTGCACCCGTCCTAACGCAACTACTCAATACACGACCGCGAAATGTTGGCGACCGTGCACGCGTTCAAAGTTTGGCGGTTTTACCTGACTGGCGCCGACGTGACAGTACGGACAGACCACCGATCACTACATGACCTACGCGCCCAACC